AAGGGGGGGGGGGGAGGGGGGAGGGTATGGAAAAAATTGAGCAAGAAATTGGTTTCCTGAGCACTACCTCCCAATAAAGTTGGTTGCAATCCATGCACTGCCAAAACTGTAAATTCTTGTCAAACAAGCAATTGGGAATCACTTGGAATCCCTTGGCAGCTTCAACTGCCTCTTCAGTTGTAAGCGGTTTTTGAATGAACCTCCCATTGCATTTGGTACACCTTGACATTAACTGATCCTCACAAATTTTCAACTGGAAAGTTTCAATTACCTGCAACATCTCTAGAATTTCAGCCTCCACAACACCATAGGACCAGTCACATTGAGAAGACAAGATGGCACATCAGTTACACAGGTTATCATAACTTAGGGTAAGCATAACCTCTGGAACAGACTATTAAGGGGCACAGATCCTAATGTTAAGACGGCAAACAATCAATGATGTCAGACCATGGAAATCTTCTATTCACAACATTACTTGGCAGATAAATAATACAATATCGACAACTTCCAATTGTACTTCTTTCTTGTTTGCAAATTGTCAGTCTCATTTATTAAACTATAGAATACATACCTCAAGAAGTTGTTCATTTTTAAGAAGACCCTTCACCCTGTATATTTGGTTTTTCATCAGATAGTCATGTCTCAAAAGCTTGGCATCTCGAGTCAAGAGCACCCTCTTCTCTTTGTTTGCTTGATGTATCAAGTCCCTAGAGACAATAGGGAAAATATTTACCCCACTAAAGAAGTTACATATATCACAGCACATATGTACCAAACAACATATTTCTAACTTTAAGATCACATTTGCATGAAAAAAAAACATTTATAAGCATAACACCTGGTTTCGGGCTTCTTGGAATGTGGAACGGCAGCATCTACCCCAACACAACGTAAATGTTTCGCCAAGCCTTCCACCTGAGAGAATGTTTCATTAGCCTTGCACAACGCGTAAGCAAAACAATTTAAGCTTAAATTGAATTGATGTGGAAAGTACAGAATGCCATTTTTTCATACAAAATATTATAGACAAAGGAAGAAGATTGTATGTCATAGAACAAAACTCTACAAAACCTAAGCCCTATAAGTTATAAATTTAACTGAGGTAACAAGACCACTTACCATCACATCACAAAGAAACTTAGGGCATCCATCATCACCCAAGGACAAATCCCATGGTGGGGGACCTTGAAAATCATCAACATTTTCTATTCGTCTTTCTTTGCCTATCAAGCCTGCAGAGGACTGTTTTTTCCCTTTCTTTTTGGAGGTTTTAGGCTTTCTGTCGGATTCTTTTAACAATATTTTTTCACCATATTTTCTAACGATCTGCCAGAGCGTGTCATCCATGGGCACAGTGCATGACATCGTACGTGTGTTTTGAGGAAATTCAGAAGGAACAGCGCGGACCAACTTTAAAGCCTCAAGATCCAAATTTGAAGAATGTAGCTTTATGAAATTGCCAAAAGAATGCCCTGCCATGCAATCAATAAAATTTGAGTTGGTGACTCAAATATGGTAAGGACCAGGTAAGCAATAGATAGCAAGCCATTTCGTTTTAACTTATGATTAAATATGTTCCGTACAACAAAGATGTTCCAAGTTTTCTATGTTTCACAGTTTTCATTGATCTAGTGGCAGCCATGGCTGCAAAAACAAGAGTGCAAGGTCGATATTACAATAGGAAAATGCTATTTGGACCTAATTTGAAAACCTAATTATAGTTGTTGAATTAAAAGTGTCTCCACCTAACATTGAAATGTACAACTAATTCAATTGATGCATTGAATTAAATCCCTTAATTAGGTTCGTATTGCGTAATATTAGAACAGGTAAAAGAGAATTTTTGAGCCACTCATTATTGTTTAAAATATAACACATGCAAAAGTATTAGGACAAGAGTTTGAAGATGGTGGTGTTTTTGGTGGGCGTTGGAGGGGGGAGAACATGGTTCTAGGTATCGGCCGAGTCCGTATTCGAGTCGGCCACCGTCGATACGATAACGGTCCGCGAGTCGAAGAAATTTCAAAATAAACTATCATCGGCGATATCTCGGGCGTCTCGGCCGAAATCAAAGGACTCGGTCACACCTCGGTTGATTCGGCCGATTTCCATCCGAGTCATACCGATTTGGATGTGAATCGTTCGACCACACCAAGAAAACAGAGTGTGCCCAAAAAAGAAAGGCAAAAAGGAAGAAGTAACTGAATTTTACCTCGTTTGTTTTGAGCCCTAAATGATAACTTTTTGCCATTATGTAAACAGATTGAGTAAAGAGAAAATTAACAACACATACCCGTAAATCTTCTAAAGAATCACCTTTCTCAGTTCTCAGTCTTACAAAGCTACTTCTTCTTTGCAACAGATACCCATCGCTGAAACCCTAAATCGCAGACAACGGAGCATCTCGATCACAGGCAGCAAAGCTTCGAGTTCCATTTGATATTTTTGAGCTCAAGCTCTCGATCGCCCCCCTTTTGTCTCTCTCTCTCTCTCTAACTCAAACTGAGACCCACAAAATATTTTTGTTTTATTTTATCAGTCTTCACTTCTTTAATTTATACTTTCCTATGTTATTTAGTTTAATGGATAAAATATTTTGTAATCAGAATATTAGACCAATACTAAATAGATAAAATGTTTGTATTTTCATAAAATTTAAAAGTAAAAAAAGATATATTTGTATTCACATTAATATATTATTTTGTAGTAGTGGGATCTAATGTATTGATCTTACTATCAAGGATGTTTAAAATTTTTGTTTTTATTTTAAAATTTTTAATATTAATTATTAGTATGTTCAAAATAATTATAGTTACATATATTGAAAGCTTAACAATATAGTGATATTTAATTCTTAATTTTTTAGAATGGCTCCAAAAAAAAAAGTGACATTGGTTGGGATCATACAACCAATATTTTTGATAGCGCCCTTGTAATTTCTTTTGATTATTCTAAATGTGTTAAATAACGTATATTGGGGATATGATTTATGAATGATGATGTTTATATTTTTTTGGAATTTTCATGATTTTTTCAATTATTTTTGAGCTTTCTATCTAGTATTTTGAGCGTATAGGCCGATACCATGCCACGACACTGCAACCGATGTGTGTCAATGCCCTCTGAGTTGGTGACCGATACTGCGACTTTGAACCATGGGAGAGAAGGAGAATATCACATTAATCAAAATGTAAAACAATGAACTTGATCTGCCAACTTCTACAATATTAAATTTGTGAGCTCCATTACATAATTTAACAAGTAATATCTCATACACAAAAGTAGTCAAAAGCTTGGTTCTCGATTACTGTTCACATGTGGAAATGCAGATGATGAGAACTAAGCCATGTGATCTCTTTTGATATGACTCAATGAATAGATTCAAAGTTTTTGAAAGTGTAGCCTACACCAATCTAACAAGCTTAAAGCATCACAAACCTTCTTTGGCAACCTTGACCTGGAAGAAATTAAATATCTCAAGCAAACAGTGTGCATCAGCAGCTGCATATGCCTTCTGCTCTTCTGTAAGAGGACGACATGACCAATCACTGCATTGAAGTTCCTAGAAGAATGTACATTGTAATTTATAGCAACAAGATTATTTGAATCACAAATTAATGTCAAGGAATTAAACAGAATTCAAGAACATGGTTTGGCAAGATAAGGACTGAAACTCCTCTTCAACACTTCAAATAGACAAAATGTGGGTGTTAAGTATAAAACCTTGGAAAGCGAGAAACCCAATATTTCCTCACAGATAGTTGCCAAGCTCTTGGTTTCCTTTGGCATCTTTCTTCCGGGTTGCTTGTGTTGAAGATAATGGTATATGCTTGTAATATCAAAATAGGGTTCCACCTATTCTCCAACAATTAGAAATGCATCACCATTTTTATCACTTAAAAGCAAATACATCAAATAATTCTCCCTTAAATACTAATCCATCACATTTAACTGCAGTGTGAAAATCTTAAGTGTTCTATTAAACTCATTAATTCAGTTGCACTGTTAAAGTCAGCCAGATTAATTCTTTCTATGCTTCCAATTGTCCGTTACAGATCAATTTACTTAACTACTTGAACGAATGCTAAATAATCAAAAGTTTTACGTAAGCTAAAGAACTCAAAAACCTTCTTGTGTAATCAATCCAATGCCCATCTATGTCTTCAAGGCCAACAAACATATGAACAAATGTACATGAGCAACTGAATGGATGGTACTGGAAGTTAAATTTACTCAAAATTATACTGCGGAAATTAGTAACTCTAGGTGATCCTTGACGGCTAAATTTACACCTCAAGGATTAAATTCAATGGTGTGAATCCCTAAATTGACTTCGAAATGTGTCTGATTTCCCCATTTTAACATTCAAAACTTCGTTTGATTTTCGTTTCCTACATTTTGTCAGCAACCAAACAGAAAATAACTTACCCTATCAAATCCAGGATCGCAGCCTTGAGAGCAGAAAGTAGAAGACAAGTAAACCAAATCTTGTTTAAATCTAAACCCTAATTTGAGAATATGAGGCGACACAAACATATCCTTCAATAGCTCGTATATTGAAGGCAAATGAATTGTCGAGAGGTCAAGAAGGAAGACCAATGACTCGTTCTGCTGGGCAGTAGAATCGCAGTTGCCGACAACTCGGCAAGCGATTTGGAGGAGAGAGACGGGGGGAAAAGTGTCTTGATGGATGTGAATTGGCTTCCATTCGGCGTCGAGTCCGATGACGGAGGAGCGAGTCAGAGCCCAGCTGAGGTGAGTGAACTCGGGCGAGTCGGTGGCGGATACGAAGTGAATGGTGAGTGACTTTTGATCTGTGTATTCCATTAGTAAAATGTAATGAAACCGCCTGATTTTTTGGGGCCTGGTACGTAGTTTGGGTTCGGTTTGGATTCATTTGGTCAAATTTGGGTTTGACATGAGACTCAAAGAAGGGATTCAATATTTAATACTATTCATATTTATGTTTGATATGCGTAAAGATATATAACTATTATGATAATATATTTATATTTAAATAATTATTGTGTCTTTTAACTAATTTAATTCAAACATGAGTATGGATATATGAGTGGTATAAATAATTGTAAGGGATATACCAAATTAGACTTATTTGATAAAAAGTACATACTAAAAAATGTAGGGTTATTAAAATCTTAATAATTTGATACTTATTTGTATTTAAGTACACAATTTGAATTTGTCTAATTTTTTTGTGATATTTTTGTCCTCCATTGATCCAGTGTATCTTTTTTGGAAAGTGGTGCATTAAATATCTCTTAATTTTATGGGAGAATTTTAATATTTAGTGCACTTTGATTCATGTGTATTTGTTATTCTCTCTCTTCCTAAATATCTGTCGTTTAAGTTTTTTGCACAGGGATTAAAAAAAGCTATTAAATAGCTCTAATATAAGTAAAAAATAATTGTATAAGACTAAAATACCCTTATTCAATACGTATTGAAAAAGAAAGGAATATGAAAGACACTTAACCTCCACCTAATCTAATGTATTGAAAAGTTAAAGATAAATTTGAAAAAAAAAAATTTAATTATACTTTGGTTTCATAAAACGACAGATATTATGGAACAAAAAAAATTATGTAAAACGACAGATATTTAGGAACGGATGGAGTAATGTATATATGTGTGTGTGTGTGTGTGTGTGTAAAATGTAACATTGAAAGTGTAAAATATTATCTCATGTCTTATCTTTATTAATGAAAAGTGTAAAGTGTTATAGGATAATATTGAAAAAAATAATAACAGTGTAGCAATAATAATCTAATAAGCAATTTACACAAAATAAGGGAAGACAGTACCTAAAATGTTACACAAACAGAATATACATGTCTCATTCTACCATGTCAATAGGGTCACGTGGTATAACCATTCACTAATAAGTGAACAAGTTTACAAATGAACCTCACAAAAATTCACAATCATCCAGCTATATAATACATAACCACCTCAATATAAGGAAGTGAACCCCATTTTATTTATTTTATAATTTTTCTATTGGATGATTACACTACGTGACACTACTAAACTATTACACTCAATATTTACTTATTCTCCTCATGTTCTACTTCCTTGACCAATGAAAAAACAGTGTTCTCTAATGTATGCTTTTCAAACATAAACATATTATTTCTACGGGTGTGAAAATGACCTAAAAACCCTTGAGAGAGGTAATCAAGATGCCATGAAAGCTCTCATTTGATTCACTTCAAACATTGAACAATATGATTGCCTGCTTATATTAGTACCAATGAATTATCAGGTCATACATGTTAATGAAATTGCTAATTCAATTCCATAACTAGACACATGCATTGAAGAACACCAACTAGAATATTAACAATGTACCCAACTACACATCAATAAATCAACAAACAGAATGTCTAAAGACCGATAAGATCGTTAACTTCTTCAGCATGATGATGGTATCTTTTGCTTATGAAAAGAAAACCAAGTGAAAATGAAACCAAAAAAAAAACATACATTTTGAATGGAACCATGATGACAGAGTATCAAATATGTAGCAGTTGGAGGCATAAGAACAAAACTGGAGACATATGGCACATATAGTGTTGAGGTAATCTTTAAAAGTTTTATCTTTATCGCATTTTTCTTAGCCGTGTGGGTCATATAGCATTATTAAAATAGAAAATAATTCTGAACATGACTATCAATCAACACTATGTGTGTATGTGTGTAGTTAACAAGTTCATGTTATAAACGAGTTTGGCATACTAAATTCGCTTGACAAATTAACAGATCAATTATCACTTGATTAAACCAACCAAATTTCGTACATGATAATAAATAAATTCAGTATGAATTAAATAAATTTTGATACAGTACTATATACAAGATTCAAAAATGAACATTAGCACGATTCATTAACAGTTAGAATCAAAATCAAGGAATATTCATCGTTAGTCCTGGTACCTACAGTACAATTTTAGTTTAAAATTCACTACTATCCTACAATAGATTTCATATGACTATGAAATTGTTAAATGTGATGGACATAAAGTCTAATTTGTATAAAAAAAAAAAAAAAAAAAAGGGAAAGAAGGATCCACAACGTACTATGCAATCTAATAAAATGGTTTGATAATTTGCAAATTTCTATGTTATGCCTCACAACTAATTCCTCTAATGATATTTCACTATTTGCATGTTTCAGGGGAAAAAAATCATTTTTCAGTATGCGTAGACAATCCCCAATGTTAATGTAGTACAAAGGCCTAGAGTGTATCGTACTTTGAAGGGTATGTTTGATATATGGGTTTGGATAAGATTTAAGTGATGAATTTTATAAAAATAGTCCAATACATCTTCTAAACTAGTGTTTGGTTGAATATTTGAGGCTCGAGATTCTAAATGAATCCTTCCTAGCCCGCAAAGAATAATTGATTAAAACCCACAAATGGAGTCATGGGGTTTAATGAAACTCATGGGAGGTGAGTTTCAAAAATGAAAGACCGGATTTAAAAACAAAAAAACTACTTTACAAAAAAATTTATTATTTTATTCCCATAATAATGAACATTTTAGTAAATTTAGTAATATAATTTAATATAAATTCATGAATCCTACATCTATATAATAAAGTAGAGCTAAATTTGAATTTTGGAGATAAAGGGAGGTCTAGATCGTATTGAAACAAAACATAAACAAATCCCACAAATAACGTAATCCCAACATAAAAGACGGTTCAGGTCATCTCATAAATACTGATCCGACGATTATAATTGGATTTAACTTTAACACTCTTATCTCTCATATAACTCTCTCTCTCTTCTCTTAGACGTTTTAAACACGATATCTCATTTTTTTTTCTCTCTCTCTCTAAATATATATACACACTAACAAGATAGAACCAATTTTGAATCTATTTTTATTTCAAAATTTAATCCAAATTTAATTCATTTGGAAAAACACGAGGACGACTCAAATTTAATCTCCTTTTAATTCAATGGACAAAATTTTATCTTAATTCTTTCAACTAATTCTAAAGGTTCACAATGCATCCCACACATACTTTCTCCCGCCCATTTTAAGCCAACACACACCACCCATAACACACACACACACACATGCCAGCAGTAACGAGCGACCTCTCTCTCTCTCTCTCTCTCATCTACCATAGCTAACCAACAGCACAACCCTCCTTCTCTCTGTCATGGTTTCCTCTCACATCGCCCAGGTACACCCTTTTCTCTCTCTCTCTCTCTCACACACACACACATAGTTTATCCCACCACACAACACATAGTCAAACTCACAAACAACACAGATAATGCACACACACAGAGTCGAACCCACCACACAACACACATAGTCAAACCCACAACACAACACTCACTGCAGCGCGCGCGCACACACACACAACAACAAATTAATTTGGGATTTTGAATGTTTGTATTTTTAATTTGGGTGTTGAATAGAGTGTGTGAAATTTTAATTTATTTTTTTAATTATGAAATGGGTTTGTAGTAATTATGAAATATGTTTATTAAGAAATTTCAATTTATTTTTTTATTATGAAATATGATTTTTTTTGTTTATTATGAATGTTAAAATGGAATGGATGTTCAGTTGATTATTATTGGGTGTTCATTTTGTGATATTTGTAGGCTAATTTAAATGACCNCGTTAGTCCTGGTACCTACAGTACAATTTTAGTTTAAAATTCACTACTATCCTACAATAGATTTCATATGACTATGAAATTGTTAAATGTGATGGACATAAAGTCTAATTTGTATAAATAAAAAAAAAAAAAAAAAGGGAAAGAAGGATCCACAACGTACTATGCAATCTAATAAAATGGTTTGATAATTTGTAAATTTCTATGTTATGCCTCACAACTAATTCCTCTAATGATATTTCACTATTTGCATGTTTCAGGGGAAAAAAAATCATTTTTCAGTATGCGTAGACAATCCCAAATGTTAATGTAATACAAAGGCCTAGAGTGTATCGTACTTTGAAGAGTGTATCGTACTTTGAAGGGTATGTTTGATATATGGGTTTGGATAAGATTTAAGTGGTNCTATTCTCCAACAATTAGAAATGCATCACCATTTTTATCACTTAAAAGCAAATACATCAAATAATTCTCCCTTAAATACTAATCCATCACATTTAACTGCAGTGTGAAAATCTTAAGTGTTCTATTAAACTCATTAATTCAGTTGCACTGTTAAAGTCAGCCAGATTAATTCTTTCTATGCTTCCAATTGTCCGTTACAGATCAATTTACTTAACTACTTGAACGAATGCTAAATAATCAAAAGTTTTACGTAAGCTAAAGAACTCAAAAACCTTCTTGTGTAATCAATCCAATGCCCATCTATGTCTTCAAGGCCAACAAACATATGAACAAATGTACATGAGCAACTGAATGGATGGTACTGGAAGTTAAATTTACTCAAAATTATACTGCGGAAATTAGTAACTCTAGGTGATCCTTGACGGCTAAATTTACACCTCAAGGATTAAATTCAATGGTGTGAATCCCTAAATTGACTTCGAAATGTGTCTGATTTCCCCATTTTAACATTCAAAACTTCGTTTGATTTTCGTTTCCTACATTTTGTCAGCAACCAAACAGAAAATAACTTACCCTATCAAATCCAGGATCGCAGCCTTGAGAGCAGAAAGTAGAAGACAAGTAAACCAAATCTTGTTTAAATCTAAACCCTAATTTGAGAATATGAGGCGACACAAACATATCCTTCAATAGCTCGTATATTGAAGGCAAATGAATTGTCGAGAGGTCAAGAAGGAAGACCAATGACTCGTTCTGCTGGGCAGTAGAATCGCAGTTGCCGACAACTCGGCAAGCGATTTGGAGGAGAGAGACGGGGGGAAAAGTGTCTTGATGGATGTGAATTGGCTTCCATTCGGCGTCGAGTCCGATGACGGAGGAGCGAGTCAGAGCCCAGCTGAGGTGAGTGAACTCGGGCGAGTCGGTGGCGGATACGAAGTGAATGGTGAGTGACTTTTGATCTGTGTATTCCATTAGTAAAATGTAATGAAACCGCCTGATTTTTTGGGGCCTGGTACGTAGTTTGGGTTCGGTTTGGATTCATTTGGTCAAATTTGGGTTTGACATGAGACTCAAAGAAGGGATTCAATATTTAATACTATTCATATTTATGTTTGATATGCGTAAAGATATATAACTATTATGATAATATATTTATATTTAAATAATTATTGTGTCTTTTAACTAATTTAATTCAAACATGAGTATGGATATATGAGTGGTATAAATAATTGTAAGGGATATACCAAATTAGACTTATTTGATAAAAAGTACATACTAAAAAATGTAGGGTTATTAAAATCTTAATAATTTGATACTTATTTGTATTTAAGTACACAATTTGAATTTGTCTAATTTTTTTGTGATATTTTTGTCCTCCATTGATCCAGTGTATCTTTTTTGGAAAGTGGTGCATTAAATATCTCTTAATTTTATGGGAGAATTTTAATATTTAGTGCACTTTGATTCATGTGTATTTGTTATTCTCTCTCTTCCTAAATATCTGTCGTTTAAGTTTTTTGCACAGGGATTAAAAAAAGCTATTAAATAGCTCTAATATAAGTAAAAAATAATTGTATAAGACTAAAATACCCTTATTCAATACGTATTGAAAAAGAAAGGAATATGAAAGACACTTAACCTCCACCTAATCTAATGTATTGAAAAGTTAAAGATAAATTTGAAAAAAAAAAATTTAATTATACTTTGGTTTCATAAAACGACAGATATTATGGAACAAAAAAAATTATGTAAAACGACAGATATTTAGGAACGGATGGAGTAATGTATATATGTGTGTGTGTGTGTGTGTGTGTAAAATGTAACATTGAAAGTGTAAAATATTATCTCATGTCTTATCTTTATTAATGAAAAGTGTAAAGTGTTATAGGATAATATTGAAAAAAATAATAACAGTGTAGCAATAATAATCTAATAAGCAATTTACACAAAATAAGGGAAGACAGTACCTAAAATGTTACACAAACAGAATATACATGTCTCATTCTACCATGTCAATAGGGTCACGTGGTATAACCATTCACTAATAAGTGAACAAGTTTACAAATGAACCTCACAAAAATTCACAATCATCCAGCTATATAATACATAACCACCTCAATATAAGGAAGTGAACCCCATTTTATTTATTTTATAATTTTTCTATTGGATGATTACACTACGTGACACTACTAAACTATTACACTCAATATTTACTTATTCTCCTCATGTTCTACTTCCTTGACCAATGAAAAAACAGTGTTCTCTAATGTATGCTTTTCAAACATAAACATATTATTTCTACGGGTGTGAAAATGACCTAAAAACCCTTGAGAGAGGTAATCAAGATGCCATGAAAGCTCTCATTTGATTCACTTCAAACATTGAACAATATGATTGCCTGCTTATATTAGTACCAATGAATTATCAGGTCATACATGTTAATGAAATTGCTAATTCAATTCCATAACTAGACACATGCATTGAAGAACACCAACTAGAATATTAACAATGTACCCAACTACACATCAATAAATCAACAAACAGAATGTCTAAAGACCGATAAGATCGTTAACTTCTTCAGCATGATGATGGTATCTTTTGCTTATGAAAAGAAAACCAAGTGAAAATGAAACCAAAAAAAAAACATACATTTTGAATGGAACCATGATGACAGAGTATCAAATATGTAGCAGTTGGAGGCATAAGAACAAAACTGGAGACATATGGCACATATAGTGTTGAGGTAATCTTTAAAAGTTTTATCTTTATCGCATTTTTCTTAGCCGTGTGGGTCATATAGCATTATTAAAATAGAAAATAATTCTGAACATGACTATCAATCAACACTATGTGTGTATGTGTGTAGTTAACAAGTTCATGTTATAAACGAGTTTGGCATACTAAATTCGCTTGACAAATTAACAGATCAATTATCACTTGATTAAACCAACCAAATTTCGTACATGATAATAAATAAATTCAGTATGAATTAAATAAATTTTGATACAGTACTATATACAAGATTCAAAAATGAACATTAGCACGATTCATTAACAGTTAGAATCAAAATCAAGGAATATTCATCGTTAGTCCTGGTACCTACAGTACAATTTTAGTTTAAAATTCACTACTATCCTACAATAGATTTCATATGACTATGAAATTGTTAAATGTGATGGACATAAAGTCTAATTTGTATAAAAAAAAAAAAAAAAAAAAGGGAAAGAAGGATCCACGACGTACTATGCAATCTAATAAAATGGTTTGATAATTTGCAAATTTCTATGTTATGCCTCACAACTAATTCCTCTAATGATATTTCACTATTTGCATGTTTCAGGGGAAAAAAATCATTTTTCAGTATGCGTAGACAATCCCCAATGTTAATGTAGTACAAAGGCCTAGAGTGTATCGTACTTTGAAGGGTATGTTTGATATATGGGTTTGGATAAGATTTAAGTGATGAATTTTATAAAAATAGTCCAATACATCTTCTAAACTAGTGTTTGGTTGAATATTTGAGGCTCGAGATTCTAAATGAATCCTTCCTAGCCCGCAAAGAATAATTGATTAAAACCCACAAATGGAGTCATGGGGTTTAATGAAACTCATGGGAGGTGAGTTTCAAAAATGAAAGACTGGATTTAAAAACAAAAAAACTATTTTACAAAAAAATTTATTATTTTATTCCCATAATAATGAACATTTTAGTAAATTTAGTAATATAATTTAATATAAATTCATGAATCCTACATCTATATAATAAAGTAGAGCTAAATTTGAATTTTGGAGATAAAGGGAGGTCTAGATCGTATTGAAACAAAACATAAACAAATCCCACAAATAACGTAATCCCAACATAAAAGACGGTTCAGGTCATCTCATAAATACTGATCCGACGATTATAATTGGATTTAACTTTAACACTCTTATCTCTCATATAACTCTCTCTCTCTTCTCTTAGACGTTTTAAACACGATATCTCATTTTTTTTTCTCTCTCTCTCTAAATATATATACACACTAACAAGATAGAACCAATTTTGAATCTATTTTTATTTCAAAATTTAATCCAAATTTAATTCATTTGGAAAAACACGAGGACGACTCAAATTTAATCTCCTTTTAATTCAATGGACAAAATTTTATCTTAATTCTTTCAACTAATTCTAAAGGTTCACAATGCATCCCACACATACTTTCTCCCGCCCATTTTAAGCCAACACACACCACCCATAACACACACACACACACATGCCAGCAGTAACGAGCGACCTCTCTCTCTCTCTCTCTCTCATCTACCATAGCTAACCAGCAGCACAACCCTCCTTCTCTCTGTCATGGTTTCCTCTCACATCGCCCAGGTACACCCTTTTCTCTCTCTCTCTCTCTCTCTTTCTCTCTCTCTCTCACACACACACACACACATAGTTTATCCCACCACACAACACATAGTCAAACTCACAAACAACACAGATAATGCACACACACAGAGTCGAACCCACCACACAACACACATAGTCAAACCCACAACACAACACTCACTGCAGCGCGCGCGCACACACACACAACAACAAATTAATTTGGGATTTTGAATGTTTGTATTTTTAATTTGGGTGTTGAATAGAGTGTGTGAAATTTTAATTTATTTTTTTAATTATGAAATGGGTTTGTAGTAATTATGAAATATGTTTATTAAGAAATTTCAATTTATTTTTTTATTATGAAATATGATTTTTTTTGTTTATTATGAATGTTAAAATGGAATGGATGTTCAGTTGATTATTATTGGGTGTTCATTTTGTGATATTTGTAGGCTAATTTAAATGACCTTTGGGTGTTGCAAAAGAATTCTCTAGAACCTCAAATTACCCACTCTTAAGCACTAAAAAATTGTTTAAAGGTATAGAAGATGGGAGAATGCATGTATATGTGTCTCTGTGTGTTGTGTGGCGCCAGGGATTTGGATAGAGGAACCTGGGTAGGCATGGGTTGAGTCCCACAAATCCAAATGCCACTAACCTTTTTGGTGTGGAACTGATCAGTGACTCTATGTCATGATATGTTTCCAGTATCATGGCCCTTCTCAGCCAGATGTTTGGTGCAGGCACCGAGAATGTGGTCTCATGCATTCATTTTTCCCCTTTTCCAATTTTATTGTTATTTTAGTACTTGCTCTTGATTTGTAATTCTTTGTTGGTTCTTCTGTAGTTATGTTTTTGGCTTTTGTTATATGCAGGTGAAGGTTGAGGACAAGACCTGGAAAGTTGATGTGAGTTATGCTCTTCTTAATTTTGTCTCTGTTTTTCTATATGCATGTGTACAATACCTTTGCACGTGGTAAGAAAAGAAAAGAGCATTAACAAGGTATCCTATGATTATGAGCAGTTATGTTTCTAGTGGAAGAATCAAAATTTTATTTCGGTGCATAGTTTCGCTGAGTTTGGAAACATCAACATTTTCAGCAATATTATGTAGGCAAAAAAAATATTTAAAAATTTATTTCCAAAACATTGGTCGAAACAAACGAAATATAGGTTGAAACCTACCGAAACACATCGAAACACACCGAAACATAAGAATTTTGATATTCAATCAATGATTTATTTCGATGTCTATGGAAACGAAAACATTTCGGATGTTTCGATATGAAATTTTATTCCTTGGGTGAATCACAAAATGCAGTTTGAAGAATAGATGCACGAGGTTTAACTCTTCAAGATTCACGCCTTGCAATTTGCCATTCATATGCTTCAAGAATGNATAAAGTAGAGCTAAATTTGAATTTTGGAGATAAAGGGAGGTCTAGATCGTATTGAAACAAAACATAAACAAATCCCACAAATAACGTAATCCCAACATAAAAGACGGTTCAGGTNGTGTTCTCTAATGTATGCTTTTCAAACATAAACATATTATTTCTACGGGTGTGAAAATGACCTAAAAACCCTTGAGAGAGGTAATCAAGATGCC